AGCCTGCCTGGTAAGCAAAAGGACCTGAGTTCAATCCAGTACCAAAAAAAACAGACAAAAAAACAAAGGGTGGTCACAGGGAAACAGGCATCCTCTACTGACCCCACCTTACCCTCTTCAGGGCTAGTTTGGGTTGAGGTTTTTGTATAATAAGGCAAAGAATGAAGTTGTTGGACCTGTGCAGAAAGTCACAAGTACTGCCCTGAAACCTGGGCATCTTCCCTTTTCACTCACAAGTCTGGCTTTGAGGCCCAGCACTGCCCTTTTATCCTGCTCCAGGCAACAAAACCAGCCTTCTTTCCTCTCTGCTGGATTTCAGAAAGAGCCTATTCATAACTGAGTTGTTCAGTTCCCTCCCTAGGGGCGGGGTGAGGAAAGTTCTGCAGACCTGAGAACAGCTACAAACTCTTCAGGCTGCTGCCTTACCCCTCTGTCTGAACGCCCAGGGTTCTGGGGATTTAAAGGTTAAGCTCTAAGACTGGCAAGAATGCAGGATCCCTCTAGGTTTGCTTTTCTCTCTCAAGATGCAAAGAGAAAAGAATATTGTAAATCAACAGTTGTGTGCCCCTAGGGCGGTAGTTTGTAACCTGTATTGCAAAAGCTCCTGAAATGTAATCCCATATTTCTGGAGGCTGAGGCAGAAGGATTGCCATGAGTTCAAGGCCAGCCTGAACTACATAGCCAGACCCTGTCTCAAAAATAAATAAACAAAGCAAACAGCCAGGCATGGTGGCACATGCCTGTAATCCCAGCTCTTGGAAGGCTGAGAGGCAGGAGGATTGCTGAGAATTTGAGGCCAGCCAGCCTTGGCTACATAGTGAGTTCAGGGTCAGCCTGAACTACAAATCAAGATCTTGCCTCAAAAAACAAAAACAAAAAAAGCAAACAAATTCCCAGAGTATTTGTTAAAAATGCAGATCAGAGGTACAGTATGTGTTGGAGTCCCCCATAATCCTAGCATTTGCCTTTGTACTCAGGAAGTTGAAACAGGAGGATCATAAGTTAAAGACCTGGCCTACTTGTCTCAAATCAAGCAGATTTTTGGACTGCTCTGTGGTTCACTAAGTATGGAGTAGAGTTGTAGATGTGCATTTTAGACAGTCAAGAAGGGTCACATTTTCAGAATGTTTCTCACTAGCCCCTAGCCTGGATTTATGTATATAGCCATGCAACAGCCAGCCTGTAGCTGCAGCTCTGTGACCTTCAGTTTGTTCTCATAACGTCCAGGAAAGTTCCTGGCATTTGGTAGACCATTTAAATTACATCAGGCTAAAAACTCAAGTGTGGGAGTGTTTCTTGGAGTTTCAGATTATGTACTGAAAATGAGGTAGGATATCAAAAAGATAGGAAAAAGACAAATCATAATTTAAAATTTTGTGCTTTGAAGATTACAGTTTGATTAAGGTTATCTATATCTATACTCCCTCGCTTTGTTTATTCTTCTCTCCCAGGCTCAACTCCCTTAAAATCCCTTAAAGATGCTGTAAGCCCATCAAGTAGCTTAGTTGATAAGTAAAAGACAGAAAACTGACTTTAAGACAGAAAAACATATTCAGAGTATTCAAAAAATGTTTTTGGGGAAAACACCCATCTTAAAAAAACAAAAGCAAAAACAAAAACAACCCACAATGGACTATGCTTGTGCTTTTCTCCTGTAAAGTGGGCCATTATTTTTATCTGTAAAACCAGTCAGTTTTCCATCCTATGACCCTCAGTTTTCCTCTATAAACCAAGCCCAAACTTCCTATAGATTCACAAATTCCACAAATGTCATTGCCAAAAGCACAAAAGTATACTCAGCTCCAGGGTATAATGCCTCTCTCCTTCCTCTATTTCTTTGAGTGTGTACTTTTTAAAATTCTGCCTAACAAATACCTTTATGCCTCTTACTAACTTGTCCTAAATGTTCTTTTTCTGTGGTGGAAGTCTTGGAACCTACAACCTGCCCTGTGGGTGGGGTGAGACTAGATTCCACATCTCTGCTTTGGGGACTTCCTTGGACCCTGTCCTGTGACAGAAAGATGAGTGGTGTCATAATGAGAAAATGAAGTCTGTTCACTTGGAAGACAGAAACCATACATCGATTCTCTAAATGGGATAGCTGACTATATGGAGGCCTTAAAAAAAATTTTTTTTTGAGGCAGGGTCTTATTATATAGTTCATCCTGGCCTTGAACTCAACTATGTAGTCCAGGCTGGCCTTGAACTCACAGCAGTTCCTCCTGCCTCAGCCTCCGGAGAATTGAGTGCTAGGATTATAGAGATGTGTTGCCACACCTGTCAAGGAATGTTTTGTTTGTTTCGTTTTTGCATGGAGATTTATGCAGGCTTGTTACTCTGAGGGTCCCTTCATCCAAGTTTGTCTAGATGTGCTGGAAAGAGTACTGGACCAAGGTGCAAGAGATTTGAATGCAGGGGCTGGGGGTGTAGCTCAGTGGCACAGCACATGCCCAGTATGTATGGAGCCCTGGTTTTGAGATGGAGAACTTCCCTACCACTATACACAGATAAAAAGGCCAATGAGCTACTGATGAGCTCCTCTCTCTTTCTCTCCCCCCCCCAGCTGTCTTTTTTTCTGGTATGAGGGGTTTGGCAAGGAAACTCTAAGGTACTCTTACAGCTAACTTCCTAAAGCTTGCCTGTGGTTGCCACTTGCTTTAGTCTTCATCCTAAAGCATGCCACTCTTAGACTGGGTCAGCTCTAATGCTTTCATTCACTATTTTCCCATGAATAGCAATGTTGGTGATTATTAAATGTGTATTGCAGAAATGAATGACTACTTATCACTGATTATAAAGTGAAATAATCCTTATTGGAACAATACTCCGGTGATAAAGCAAGGGCAGGAGCTGAGACTTCAGTCATTCTTGCCAGCTGAGAGACTCTAACAACGCCCTAGGCCTGAGTGGTTTTATCAGGATGTCTGGTAATTTCAGAGGTGGCCACATTTCTTTTCCTTTAAACGTATTTAGCTTATCTTATAAATGGAATGTATATACATTGTAATAGATTTATATATTTTACTCAATTTTGGTGCTTGGAACTTGCTAAATACATTGTTTTAAAACAGGGTCTCACTATGTAGTTCAAGCTGGCCTTGAACTCAACTTTGTAGCCTGGGTTGACCTCAAATTCATGGTGATCCTCTCAAGTGCTGGGATTATAGATGTGCACTAAACATATGTTGTACATTTGTAAAAAGTATGAAAAAGAAAGTGTAGCTGATACATGACTGTACTTCGGAGGCCAAGTCAAGAGGACTGAACATTTTAGGCCAACCTGAACTACAGTGACATCTTGTTCTAAAAACAAAAAACCAAACCAAACCACCTACAATCCAGTGATTTTTGTATTTGTGTGTTATTTTTGTATACTTTTGGAATTAGAAGAAAATGGTGTACATGGGGGGAGGCATTTATTTGAGATAGGTTCTCATTATCTTGCCTAGGCTGGTCCTTCAAGGAATCTCCCTGGAAGCTTTACATGGTTTATCTATTTATTTTTCTTGTGGTGTTGGAGATTGAACCTAGGGCCTTACACATGCTAAGCAAATGCTCTGCCACTCAGCTACATGCCACCTCTTTTTATTTTGTTTTGAAATAGGGTTTCCCTAAGTTGCACAGGCTAGCCTTGAATTTGTGATCCCCCTGAGCAACTGGGGTTACAGAAGTGCGCCACCATGTCCAGTTTACCTGTTACCTTTTCAATGCATTTCTCTGTCTTTGGAACATATACTGTTTAGTGTCATATCCTGAATTCTGTACTTACACGTGCACTAAAGTATTAAGCACCATTTTTGACAGCTTCGTGATAATAGTGCATTTAACCACTCCCTCATTGTTAGACATTCAAGTTGTTTCCTCACACGTTTGTATCTGTATTTCTAATTCCTTATGACAAAGTCCCAGGAATGGAATTACTGGCTGAAGCTCTTTAAGCTTCGTGAAACCCAGTGCCAAAATATTTCCTACAAAAGTTTTCGGGGATTTATACTGAAGATCACTATCTTTCGGTGAGATTTGTAACAGCCTTTGCAGAGGAGAAAGAGCCCACAAGTTTGGCCCCAGCAGTGGGGCGCGACAGGCACGGTGGTTCTTGCATTTCTGCCTCAACTTCCCCTTTGCTGGCAGGTCCACTGTCCTGTTTTCTAATGTTTTTTTAGTTCTTCGTTTTGTAAGAACGCAGAATAAAAACCGGAGCGGGAATAGAGCAGAGGATGCTAGAGGTGATGGTGGTGGGTAGGGGATCCCGGTGTTGGAGTAGAGAAGAATTTGTCAACAAGAATCCAGCACTTGGAAATCCGCTTTTGTTTGTTTGTTTTGGTACCAGGGATCGAAATCCGGAACTTGAGTTTGAGAGGCAGGCGGCGGAACCACTGATTTAAATGCCCGGCCTTCCGCTTATTTTAAAGTGAGCTTCCAAAAAGACGCAGAATGAGGAAACAGAAAGCAGTAGCCTAACAGAAGTTGGACAAGGCGTCACCGGCTTTCCCCTCAGTCTGGAGGGCTGCGGCCTCTTTAAGGGCAAATCCGGGACCTGGCCCTTTAAATCTGTGTCTGTCTTTCCTGACGTCAGCAGCCCGGCCGGTCGCCCCGCTGTTTACCGCCGCGCGGCGCCGCTCACTTTCCCTAGTTCCGAGCGCCGCGGCGCCGCGTCCGCCTGCTCTTAAAGGGCTCGCATCCCAAAATACTCGCCGCCACCCATCACGCCCCTCGCTCTCCGACTCCCCCTCCCTTCGCGGCT